GAGCAAGCCAAGGGCAACATTGACAAGGAAAAACTCCCTAAGAACAAGAGGAAGAAACCTTGAGAGGAGCCAAGACTCAAAAGGGGAACCAGTACTCTTCAGGTTGACCATGGATAGCAAAACAGCAACACAGTAAGAGCATCTTGACTAGAGGATAAGATTTTACAATTAATACAATATTGAATATAGAAAAAAAAATGAAATCATCCTGTCACTGGACGGAAGTTAGATTAACCAATGATAACCGATGACTACTGTTAGAGACCTATCAGAATAATAATAAGACTTAGATCTATGAAAATCAGTCCCGCTACCAGTGAATACCAGTGACTACTGTTGCAAGTCCATCACAGTGAAGATGAGAGTTAAATCTATGAACAGTGACTTCTGTGAGAGGCCTGTCATAAAGAGATGTTAGTATTTAGAAATGCATTGATTCCACTTTTTCAGACCGAGTACGAGTGCATGTTTTTTAGTTCTTCCCGATACCGATTGCGATACCCTGTTGAGTAACCTAATTACAACTACGTACTTGTTAGTGTAATTGAGTGCAATGTACCTTAAAAAGTAAATAATTAAAACCTGGCTGATTTTAAGTGATGTGCATTAGCTAGCTGTGTTACATATCATGGATGGAGTACCGTTGCAATTGAGAAGAGTGGTTGTTCCAGAAAAGATGCTTTTATAAGTATGTTTCGTAGTTTTGGTCCTCAATCTCTGTGGCACAGTAACAGATCCGAGGCTAATGCACCTGAGGAGCTTACATTTCGTGTTGCTAAAGTTTTTTGTTTGGCTGATTGAGTCTCATTCACCAACCATTCTTAAGAAGAAATTTCGGTAACACTTTCTGTGAATGTTGCATTTGTAAGCATCTATAAACACATTTATAACATGTTATAATGTATTCATAAGGCATTATAAATGTGGTTATAAATATTTATAAAAAAGAATTACACTGAATTACACTTTATAGCCATGTTTATTATACAGTATGAATTGTTAATATAATGCATTATAAATAGTGTTAATAACATGTTATAATGTCAGTGCCAAAGAAGTCAGTCCCAGCTTAGAGAGCGTAAAGTAAAAACATTTTTTTATAAATATTTATAGCTATGTTTATAATGTCTTATGAATGCATTATAACATGTTATGAATGTGTTTATAGATGCTTACAAAGATGACATTCATAGAAAGTGTTACCGAAATTTCTTCGTAAAACCCACTGATGCAGTTTCCATGAAGATTCTGACATTCACTAATGTTTTCTTATTTGGGATTTGTTCTTAGGTAAGAACAGAATCTGATGAATGAGGCCCATTGTTCTTTGTTCTGTGACTTGCACTGTACGTTTGAATGAAATCTGTCCAGACAAAGCCTACAATTAACATACATATTACACCACAAAAACGCTTGGTCTAATTGACATGCTATGTGAAACACAGACAGCTTTGTCTATGGACAATTTTAAATAAAGCTGTTTAATTCAAAATAACATGCTGCACACAGAGTACTGAGTAACTATACTGAGAAACTAAGCTACAGCAGCTTTTCTGGTGTAGGGTGGTGTCATATGTTAGTATCGGTGCCTGTTTATGAGCTTGAGTAGGAGTAAATGGGCACAGCATTGGGCCGATTCCCGATACCAGTATCGGTATCGATGCATCCCTAGTTATTATAAATATGAGAAGAGGTCAGTGTATTGTGAGGCAGGTGAAATAAAGTCTGTGATTAAATAGTTTGAGTCTGTGCAGTGCCAGGAGAGTGAGTGGCATGCATGTAAGGTTTTCTGCACAGCACTGGACAGCAGATGCTGGTCAAGTTGGTGCAGCACGTGGGTGATCAAGGCAGATGAAGCAGCAGCATCAGACCACACAAGATGTGCAGTTGTTCAATTTGTCACAGAAACACACAGACAGTTCTGTTCGGGGTGACTGAGAACAATATATAGTGTTCACCGAGTGCAGGCAGCAGGCCTAGCAATTACAGCTTATTTAAAAAGGAGAGCCTGAAGGTAGCAAAGACACGAGGGCTCCCTGAGATGTCAGGGTCCCCCACTTGATTGTCATCAAACTTGAGCAAGCGTGTGAGAGTGACATTCTCAATTTACCATAATACTCTGTCAATGAACCCCCAAATCTGCACCGTTTGTCTAATGAGAAAAACTGATTAAAAAAAAGCCTTGACTAAATAAGTAGATTTTTAGCCTAAAATAAAAAACTGAGAAGTCATGAACACTGGAAGTTTATTCCACATCTGGAGGACTTTGTATGAAAAGGCTCTACGCCTAGATGTAATATTACTAATTCTTAGTACTTGGTTAGTGAGCCAGCACCTTGTGACCTAAGTGGGTGTAATGGTTCATAATAAGAAAAGTTCACTCAGGTACTCAGGGACAAGGCCATTTCGAGCTTTATATGTTAGCAGCAGATTTTTGTACTCAGTGTGGAATTTAACTAGCAACCAATGCAGTGTTGATAAGACTGAACTGATGTGGTCAGACTTTCCAGTTCTTGTAAGTGTTCTGGCTGCAGCATTATGGACTAGCTGAAGCCTGTTAAAGCTTTTGCTGGAACATTCAGGCAGCAGGGCTTTACAGTAATCCAACCTGAAAGTAATTGTGTGCTAGCTTTTCTGCATCCTGTAGGGATAGTGCATTTCTTAATATGGCAATATTTCGAAGATAAGGGAGAGCTATTCTAGTAATATTGCTTATATGTGCATCGAAGAACAAATGGGAATTGATTGTGATGCCAAAGTTTTTCACAGATGTACATGATGCAACTAAGAAGCTATTAAGACATATACAATTGTGTGTCATCAGCATAGCAATGGAAATTGATGCCATGTTTACTGATGACTGCTAGTAACACATTCAGTAACAGCTGGGTTGGAGGCATGTTTATCGCTGTGTTGCAGTGATTAATATATATATATATATATATATATATATATATGCACGCACGCACGCACGCACCACTTAGAGTAAACGTTACCATGACAGCGAACATCTCGTGAGGTCCAGTCAGAGTGAAATGAGTTTTTAGTTGGCACACTTAATTGCTTTAAAAATACATCAGAAAAATGTACTTCACATGAAGGCGTTGTGTTCTGAGACACATAAGCTGGATGCCCCCCACATCCCACCGCCGTCTTTTAAAGCTCAAAGCGTTAACTCCATCTCCTCTGCAGATCAGTTTATGCTCCCGCCATGTTGAACGCTATAAACTTTTGCTATGACGTGATGCACATGCACAGAACGTACTTAGATGTTCTGATTGGAAATGTAATCAGATACAGGCGTTTGCATGGCTATTATTCTTCTGTTTACCGGATTATTTACAGGATTACCCACTTCGTTCAATCAGATAGATATTGTATTCCGAATGACCTCAATCAGACTAGACTATTCCGATTGAAGTGTGTTCCGATTACATGGACATCTGACCGTACAAGAATTTATCAAAACCTTGGTCCAAAATTGCATTAAATTACTGGTGTATTATTCAACGGGTTTTGCACAAGTGATGAAACATCATATCTTTTAAAATCACTAAATAAGAAGACTGGGTCTTCGGCAGAGTTAACCAGTAGTTATGCGATCAGCTACAAGTATGTTGTCCAGCCCAGGCACATGTACTACAATGACTGTGGTCTGTCTGAACTCACAGGCAAGTAGTGTGAATGACTGTCCTTATTTATAACTGTGGAACAGTTAACTTCGCATACCGTGATGCTTGTTGCCCAGTTGGTGTTAACAAATATACATAATCTCTGTACAGTTGTTTTTGCTCAGTGAAGCAGATCAGATTGGCCTTGTAAAAATCCTTGTCATACTTGACTAATGCAGTAAATTCCTGCATTTTGTTATGAAAAGATGTGGTTGCTATCATATACATTTTTTTATTTCATTGCTCTGAGATAGAAACAAACAGGAAACACAAAGACACACATACCATTTACCACTTTTCCGGTAGGTGTTTTGTGTTTCTTAGTATTTACTTTTTCAAGAGATTTTTTTCTTTATGACTTTCTTCATTTTAACCCAGCCTGTTGTTAGAGATTTTGTGAATACTGAGTGTCATGGCAACAGGGCAGCCATGAGATTATTTCTGCCATGTAGAGAATAAAGCAGCAGCAGGGATACTGTTTTTTGCTGTTACCTTTTCCACTTCTTAGCTAAATTAATTGCATGGCTGCTGTGATTAAAGATACTTGTTTTATATCTGCAGTATTTTCATTTTTGTACAGCAGTAAGCTCCATTTGATAGACGATTTAGATGATGAGTGCATTATACCATGAAAATAATTTAAGTGCTTTACAGTTTCATTATATACAAAATTGATTATGTGCATAGATATAGATATCAAGATGTTTATCTGATCTCAACAACTAATGACTGTAATTAAGACCCACTTATGACAGTCACAGGATCTGTAACAAATTAAGATTCACTATTAAACTACAATACTTCTTCAGCTTGGCAAACCGCTAATCTATCTCTTGCTTGTTATTGCATTACCATTCACGACATGATTTCTGATGTTCTAGACAAGATTTTGACACTGACAAATAGTGATTAATTTAGCCCAGAACAAGACAGCAGGCAATTTGTCCTTCATTTTCCCCTCGTAATATAGCCTATAACTCTGTATTAAGTCTTTTATTGTGCAATCTCAAATCAGGTTAGTGGAAGATACATGCATGCATACATACATACAAACATACAGTCTCATGTTATGACAATGAATGTGTATTTGGTAACACATTGCACAGAATACTAAACACAAATAAATTAATCGCTGCCAACTAAGTTGTTATAGGGTATAAAAAAATCTCTCTCTCTCTCTCTCTCTCGCTCTCGCTCTCGCTCTTGCTCTCCCTCTTTTTCTCTCTCTCTCTATCTCCATCTCCCTCTCATGCTCTCTCTCTCTCTCGTTCTTTCGCTCTCTCTCTCTCACTCTCTTTCTTTCGCTCTCTCTCTCTCGCTCTCTTGCAGATTGCGAGCCAAAGCGTGTTTCAGATTGGTCGTTTGATGAAAACTGTTTCTTCTGCTGTTTAAGACGAGAGAAAGTGAAGGTAACTGATTTGTGTGTTTATAAAATTTCTTTTGTATCCTGATCACAGTTTTTCTTTGTTTTAAACCATCTATAGCTACAGTATGCAATGTATGTTGCTCTGACTCCATGACTGTAACTCTGTTATTGAAATAGTTTTTAATTTGCAAGTTCTTTGATGGCTGTCTTAATAAATGCAAAGGTATTTTTTATCTACTACAGTGGCATGAATTTGTTTGTCACCAAATTACACTTACTCTGAAGTATCATTTACAAGCAAGGCACTTTTCACTGCACTACCAGTAGTTTGGCAGACTATACTGGACAAGAGCTGCAGGTGAACTGTAGATAACCTAACAAAAGCAATTGTAGGAAAGCTACATTTACCCTTAAAACAAGAAGTAACATAGTGATATGAATGACAGGGCTGCACTTAGGGAAGAGTTGGAACATGGACTGTTGTTGTGTTTTCATGTTGTGTTTGTGATTTTCCTTTTAATACAGCCATAATACAAATGTAATAGACACTTAGAAAAATTTAAATATAAATTAAACTTAATTTGCTTTATAATGGAGTAGACAATAGCGTAGACAAATTGTCATTAAGTTTCTTTTATTTTTTTTTTCCTTCCCACGTTCCTTGAACTATAATTTACGTATTTTTTTTTTTCCCCACACTCTGAATTTTCAAGCTAGAGCCATCAAACTTGGAAGAACTTAGGTAGAAAGATTAAAATGTTGACCCAGTCAGAGAACTGCATCACTTTGGATCTAATCTTTCCACAAAACTTTATAGAAAGATTGAAGATTGAGCCCAAAGCACATGAATGCATTTCATATTCATTGCAGTCATTTGTCTAATCATGCTTTTTTGTCTCCACATCGTCCATAAGAAATTATTTCAATACTTAGTTTGAAGCTATAACCACTACATATTAGAGAAAAGTTCAGGGGTCTTGTATATACACAGGGTGTATACATGTTTCTGCATATAGATGATGATCTATTTTTTCTTGCGTGTGTAACAGTTAAATTAAATATTTCACATGCTCTTTGTCCAAAATAAGCAGTACATTTGTTTTTCTGGGGGTTTTGCAAAAAGGAAGTGTTATCACCATATTTGTTACCATATGCCATATATATTTACCATATATGTCACTGTTAATTATTTGTATAACTGTTGTTTATTTTTTCCAGTATAAGTGTGTTCTCTGTAAAGGACAAGTCAGAAAAATGTGTAATTTTACCTGGGGTGTTCAAACTTTTACATATGACTGTATGTTTAGTTGTTCGCAAAGAGAACAGTATACAATGTGTAAGATTTATCTTCATTCATTGCGAACAGTTGCACATGCAAACATTTGATATACACTCATTGAGCACTTTATTAGCAACACTACACTAATACTGGGTAGGTTCTCCCTTTGCTCTCAAAACAGCCTCAGTTCTGCGTGGCATTAATTATACAAGATGTTGGAAACATTTCCTTGTTTCTGGTCCAAGTTGACATGTTTGCATCAGGCAATTCCTGCACATTTTTCAGATGCACTTTCATGCTGCAAATGTCCTGTTCTGCCACATCCCAAAAGTGTTCTATTGGATTTAGATCCTGTTGCTGGGAAGGCTGCTGAAGCACACTGAACTCATTGTCATGTTCATGAACCCATCTTGAGGCGACATTTTCCCTGACATTTGCATTGACATGGTGCATTATCATGCCAGAAGTAGCCATTAGAAGATGGGGAAATTGTGGCCCTCAAGTGATGCACATGGTGAGCAACAATACTCAAATAAGTTGTGGCATTTAAGTGATGATTGATATTAACAGGCCCAAAGTGTGCCAAGAAAACATTCACCACACCATTACACCACCTCCTCCAGTCTGTTGACATGAGGCAGGTCTGGTCTGTGGGTTCATGCTATTCACACCAAATTCTGACCCTGCCATCTGTGTGTCTCAGCAGAAATTGAGATTCATCAGGTCAGAATCACTGAGTGCGTTTATTTAATAATCCGATAACTGAAGAAAATCAGATTTTATCACTAATACGATGAATGTGTTTACGTGCACTTGTGTAATCAGATAATGGGGAAACTATGAGTCAGGCAGTAATCGGATTTCTGCTTTGCAACCGGCCAATAAACTCTCAGAAGACGACGTGACGTAAACATAATGTAAAATTCAAAGTTTATGCACCAGCTTTTTTTTATTTTTTTTATTTTTTAAACATTTTACATTTTACCTCAAAATATGAACATACATCATCTAGAAAAGGAAGAATATTTAAATCCTTCATTTTGTGATGCATGTGGTCAGTTTTAGCATCGGTCCAAAAGTATTTTGCTGCTATTTCGCGGCAATGCTGCTTGCTTATTTCTGGTACCGTGGTCTGTTTTCACACATGCGCAAACTGAGAAATCCGAAAGAAATCGGAGTAGGAGTATACATACACTGAAAAAATCTGATTTACAGAGCTAAAATCCAGCTCTTTATTAGATTCTTAATCTCATTTCTAGACCTTATTCCAATCTAACAAATCAGAGTATGCTGTTTTCATGACCATTTAAAAATTCAGACTGCAGAAATCTGATTATGATCGGATTATTTAGTACATGTAAACGCACTCGCTGATATCACTTTTTTCCTGTCATTCTGATAGTTAATATGAACATTACCTGAAGCTGCTGGCCCATGTTTGCATGAATTTGTCCACTTCACTGCTACCGCACAATTGGCTGATTAGATAATTGCATGAGTATGTGTACAGGTATTCCTAATAAAGTGCTCAGGGAGTGTATTAAATATCAGTTTTCTAGTGCTCAGTGGCAGTTGTTATGCAAAGATTTAGTGGTACAAAAAAATCTGTCCAATCCAAATGATCTATTTTCTGAACCAAAGCTCTATTAGGTACTGATATCACAGTAATTGGCAAGCTACTATATTTTATGTTCTTCTGTATGTAGCAGTATTTTTAATGACTTATGTATTTGCCTAAAATTGTCAAGAGCCTCACTGAACTATAGATGAAGTAGTGCTTCATTAAAATTTTCTATTAGTACCTTCTTAATTTCAGTCATTAAAATAAGGCATAAAATCACAGTGCTGGTATGTGTGGATATTAGGGGTGGGAATCTCTAGGCACCTCACAATTCGATTAAGATTCAGAGGGCTGCGATGCGATTATAAAATGATTTTGATGCATCTCGATGCATCTTTTTTTTTCTATATAGCATTTATTTATAAACTAGTTCACGTTTCAAGTTTATTTGTCATTTGCACAACATGTCAGGACACTTATGCATTGAAATGCTTGTGTTCAGGCACAGGTAATCACTCTACAGAAAGTAAATAAGTAAAAATAAAAATACAAGAAAAACCAACTGAAATATATTAAATATACACAAAATATACATTTTAAAGTGACTAAGTGACTTGGTGTTATTGTTATTTAAAATGACTTGGTACTTTTAAAGCAAAGTATTTGTAATGATCCATAATGAATTTACTTCCAATATCTTTTTTTAATAAAACAAATGGAAGTGATGTGGCGAATAAACTAGAAGGCTCTCATTCAGTGCTCTTGTTTAGAGCACGAGAAGCTGCTGCTACTCTTCTGGGATAAAATGTGCAGTTACGGTGAAATAAGATCCAGTGGTAATGGATGTCAACGCAGCACGTTACAGCTATTCTACCTGTTTCCTTTAACTTCGGTTTTGGTCTCGTTGTAGAGACGGGGGGGATCGCTGTGTCAGTAAAATATCTTTGAGATGGGACGTGTGCAACATACCACGAAAGCCCTGTTTCGCAACGACTGAGAATTGCCGTGCAGACTGCAGGTCACATAGCAGCGATGCGTTATTCGCATTTATAAGCAGCGCAGTTGGTTTCCTGGTACGTTAAATCTGCAACGAGAGACTGTCACACACTAAAAAGTGCCGAAGCTAAAGTCAGCTTCTCTTTCGGATTCTCCCGTTCCACCTTAAATGGTGCTGCATTTACATTCGGCGCCTCAGTTAGAATTTAAGGTGGAATGGGTAAATTCGAACAAGAAGCTGGAGAATAAGAAGCGACTTCAGCCTCGTAAAACAGTCGAATGTTGAGAGACATTTAACAAGAAACTGATCTACTTCTGAGGAAAGGTTTTCTGGCGGAGATGGGAGGAAAGCGGCTATAGCTGAGCTAAAGCTTAAAGCAGAGCAAAGTAAATCTGCATTTTCGTTTATATTGTTTAGCCTATACTAGGACCTTAGCACATACTGAGACATACTGGACATTAAATGTTGCGGCTCCCAAGGTGGTTTGATGTAGAGGGAGCCGGTCTGAATATTATTTATATAGAACTGCATAACTGGAAGAACTCAAGGTGCTTTAGAACCATAAAAATAATATGAAAGCAATCTTATAGGAAAAAAGACTGCAAAAAAATATATAAAAATTAAACTAAAATAGGTAAGAACAAAATAAACAAAGAAAAAATTAATTAATAAATCAGATAAATAATAAATATTTATATTTTTGCCAAGACATACTTAATTACATCAAGCTATAATTGTCAAGAAACACTTGGATGAACACTATTTTACAGTGGCTTTGAATGTGACTTAACCAATCAGATTTTAGTTGTTAGACATTTCATTGATTCTATTAATCATATAAGGTTTCTTGATTCTGTTCTGATTCACATTTAGTCACAACAGAGGTGATATTGAAAAAATCAGTTGTATTTAGTTAGTATTTGGCAGAAGTTACATATTTATATTTAAGTGGGTTAATATATGTACACCTACCAGCCATAACATTCAAAAATTACTTCCTTGTCTGTATCATCTCTTTGTATCTACACTCACTGTACATTTTTATCAGCTCCAGTTACCATATAGGTAGACTTAGTAGCTCTGCAATTACAGACTGTATTTAGTTTGTTTCTATGCATTGTTAGTCCCCTTTTACTCTGCACACCATAGAGCAGGTATTATTTGGGTGGTGGATCATTCTCAGCACTGCAGTGACACTGACATGGT